AAAGCGTTCTTTCTCAGCCCATATGATATTTTAGGGTGGTGAGGAGATGGAGTATTTTAGGATGCCATGGTGTTGATGATATAGTGGTGAGCACAGCTGCCTTCCAAGATATTTTAGCTTGCAAAACTTTCATTTCTGGAAAACAGAAGTTGGCAGATTTGAGCCTCAACTCGGGTGTATAGGCAGAGATCCCAGGAATCATCTCCACACTGAAGAGGGATGTTTGGTAGTTCAGCTCCTCATACTAGGAAAGCCAATCACAAAGCCACAGGAGCCTGACCCACCCAGCACCACAGTACACCAGTGTGGCACTGGAGTCAGCAATCTCCTTCTGCCCTCTGGTGAAGCAGGCACACTTGCTGCCATTATCATCCTACAGACAAATTGAGGTTTTTGTGTGACCAGTGAGGAGTAAAGAAGGGAATGAAGTCAGAGTTTTGGCCTTAACTTTTGTCACACAGCTTCTGTCAGCATCCACTCACCCTCTCCCAGAGACAGATGCCTGTTTCGACCTTTACATGCAATGCCTATAGCCCCAGTCATGTGTGCTCTGGCCTTGGCAGAAGTTTCTCAGGGCCATATATACTCTCTGAGGTACCCAGATTTGCAGGAAGAAACATTCTCCTCATTTGTGGTAAATCAATTGGCATGAGCTTGCTAGGCAGTGAGACAGGAACTTTTAGGGTCATATTGGAAGGTGCAACCTTCTGGATCAAGTATGGAGAGAGTTAGAGTGGTATACAATAGCATCCAAGATAGCAGCCACTGGCCCTATGTGGCTACTGAGCGTTGACTATTTCAGGTCCCTATTGAGATATGCTGTGAGTGTTTACTACAAAGACTCAGTATGAAAAAACAAGAATCTAGCATATCAATAAAATATTAAGGTAAATTTCCCCTGTGTGTATTTAGATTTTTAATGTGGCTATTAGAAAATATAAGATTACCTTTGTAGTGTGTGTCACATTCCTATTGGACAGAGCTGGTTCATGTCTTTCCAGAGACCTCTGATTGTCCCTTAAGCCCATAGGGTCTATTTACTCAGATGCTGTCTTCCTTGAAAGAGACAAGGGACAGGGACCAAAGGTCACTCCTCTTGGCAGGTTGGAGAGTTCTTTCCAGGAGCTTCAATTGATAGTGGGCTGCAATAGAAGTCTCTTTCCCCCAAGAGCCCAAGCACAAACCAGGCCAACTCTCTACCATTCTGTTGTCTTTCAAGGGCCAAAGGAAAGATGGTTATGAAGCCAAGTGATCTACAAAGTATGAACTCCACACATGTAAAGCCCACAAATGTAATTATTTCATTTTATTTTAATATTTTATTTTCTATGTGTGAGTATTTTGTTTGTACATATGTATGTGCACTGCCTGTGTGCCAGGTGCCTGAAGAAGCCAGAAGAGGGTGCCAGATCCCCTGGAACTTGGGGTAGAGCTAGGTGTAAGTCATCATGCAGGTTCTAGGAACCAAACCTGGGTCCTCTGCAAGAGCAGCAAATGCTCTTAATCACTGAGCCATCTCTCTCCAGGCCTCCCCATGTAATTTTTAAAATTCAAGCCTCTAAAAGATGCAAAAAAGAAAGTAAACTAATTTTGATAATGTTTTCACACCCCCAAATTCTAGATATTATTATTTCACAGATATGCAGCATAAAAACAAACTAATGATATATTTTCACTCTTTTTTAAAACATACTAGATCATCAACATGTGATGTACTACCTTAAACACACACACACACACACACACACACACACACATCACATGATAGATGGCAGCTGCCACATTGGACTAAGAAGGTCTAGACCATGTCAAAGTCTCATGGACATGAGGAGGACATGACAGCACCTGAGACGCATGGCTGTGAAGACTGGAATCAATCACCCTGTGCTGACTGCTAAGGCCTAGATCTACAAAGAGTTTTGATAACAAGGGGGCAGAAACCTAAATATTTCAATAGGTGAACTTATTCTCCAATTTAAATAACAGTAACAAGTGGTGTGATTATAATCTTTTTTTCTTTTTTTAAAAAATGTATTCATTCTGAAAAAATAAAATAAAAAAATTAAAGATGGAAAAAAATTTATTCATACTGATTACAGTGGTCTGCCTGCACACCAGAAAAGGGCACCAGATCTCATTATAGATGGTTGTGAGCCACCACCATGTGATTGTTGGAAATTGGACTGAGGACCTGTGGAAGAGGAGCCAGTGATCTTAACCCCTGAGCCATCACTCCAGCTCTCAGTCTCTCTGTCTCTCTCTGTCTCTGTCTCTGTCTCTCTCTCTCTGGCTTATTGAAACAGGACCTCCCTGTGTAGCCTTGGCTGTTCTGGAACTCACTCTGTAGATCAGGCTGGCCTCAAACTCACAGAGCTTTGCCTGCCTCTGCCTCCTGAGTGCTGGGATTCAAGTCATGAGCTACCACTGCCCATCAATTGTATTTTTTTTAAGATTTATTGTTACTTTCAAGTGTGTGTGTGTGTGTGTGTGTGTGTGTGTGTGTGGTATGAATGTTGGTGTGGGTATGTGGGTGTGTGTATGTGAGTGCAGGTACCCTTAGAGGCCAGAAGGAGTCAGAGCTCTTAGAGCTGGAGTTACAGGTAGTTGTGAGCCATCCCTCCCCTACCTCCAGGTGGTGTTCTGGGAACAGAACTCAGGTCCTATGTATGGGCTCCTAACTAGGGAGCCACTTCTCCAGCTCTTTCTTTTCTTTTTAGATTTCCTATACTTCACAAATGTTGCAGTAAAAAGCAAAACCCCTTCATTTGTAATGTTTACTTAGAAAATATAATTTTAAATTCTTAAGTGATTAAAACAATGAGCCATGAACTATTTATGGGACTACTCTGTGTCTGGTCCCGAGCTTCCCCAGGAAGATGATCCCATTCCTGTGAATGCTGAGAAGGAAGATGTTGATACAGTCTTTCATGGAACAGAAGAGATTTCCTGGCTACACAGATATTTTTCCTATACCTAAAGTTGGAATGCAAGTGATACATGCCAGTTAGTGCTGCAGGCATATGTTCACATAAGATCTGTTTGGACAGCCCGGGCCACATGTGCTGGCCCAGTCATGGGAGCTGTCCTTGTGGGGCAGCAGAGGCAGCTGGGAGCTGGGGGAAGTGTTGAGACTCGAAAAACAGGTGACCATGCATTCTTTCAGCATGTGAAAATATGAATCAAATAATTTGCAAAACACCCACAGCTGTTGGTAGGAGGAATGGCACAGGTACTAATTTAGACTCTTAAGGCACATTCTCTCTCTCTCTCTCTCTCTCTCTCTCTCTCTCTCTCTGTGTGTGTGTGTATGTGTGTGAGACACACACACACACACACACACACACACAGCACTTCAATAACCAAAGGTCTAGTTTATTCAGCAATGTTTTTGCACCAAGTCATGTCCACAATGCCTCCCTACCCACTAAGGATGAATTTAAACAGTAGTTTCTGTAAGACCACAGGCAACATTCACTTGGTGTAGAGCAAGGGGTAAGGACTGAGTGACAGGGTTCAATTTGCTGTCCACCTTCCTTATCTGAAGATCTCAGCTTCTGCTGTGATGAGCTACTCTTGCAGTGTTGACCAGTGTTGTCATCCAAAGGCATCAAACTAGATTAGTGGGTGCCTATGCTAAGGACAGAGGGGACTAAGGTGTGATACCTAGGGGCTATGGGGCTTATTTGGAGTGTGTGTGTGTGTGTGTGTGTGTGTGTGTGTGTGTGTGGAAATTGATTATAGCCTTCACCATAGAACTCTAAACATACTAAGACTTGTGTGTGTGTGTGTGTGTGTGTGTGTGTGTGTGTGTATGGGCATGTGCATCTAGACTTAAAATGAGTGAATTATATGCTGTGCGAATTGTAGCTTAGTGGAGTTGTTTTGTTTTTCAAGGTAAAAAGCTCAGACATGAAAGCAAACATCCCTTTGGCAGCAATGCTACTTTGAGTCATTGCAGGCACTACTGAAGTGCACATGGTACCTTCCCCCACACACTTGAGACAAGATCTCAAATGAAGCTCAGACCCAACTCATGATTCTCCTGCCTCAGCTTCCTATATGTTGGCACCACCAGTGTGTCTCACCATTCCCAGCTGCCTCTCCTATACAACAGCTCATACAGGAAACTGCTCTCAGCCTAAGTGTGGTGGTGTATGTCTAACAACCCCAGCGTTTGGGAAGCAGGGAGAGAGGGTTAGGAATTCAAAGTCATCCTCAACTTCTTACTGAATTTAAGGCTAGCATGGATTCCTTGAGACACTCTCAAATAGACAAGCACTGCTATCCTTCGTGAACTCAACAATGCATCTAAGGAAGGTGCCACAGGCTCCCAAAGCCTCTGTGTCACTGACCTTTCTGGTCCTCCTGACTCTTTGGCCTCTGGTGGAAAGACTTGAGGAGCATATGTCTCAGGAACTGAAGATAAGGTGGCTGAGCCAGGCCCTGGGCTCTTTCTGAGATGAGGAAAGAAATCGATTGCTAGGATCAGATAGTTGGAAAGTGCTACCTCTTCCCTAAACCCTATTTTCAAAAGCACATTTCCCAGTAAAGATTAAGTGGCCACTATACCAGCATCCCCAGGAAGAAGAGATCTTTAGGCAGCAACGGGCTTGGAGCTGTTTTGAATCACATAGGGTCCCTTCCCCTAAACAATTCCACATTTGAAAGCAGCTGTGACTGCACCCCAGAGAACATGACCTCCTGAAGCCTATCACCCAATCACACACAGCCAGCCAAGGTTTCCCCCTTTTCCAGCGCTTTTAGATAAGCTTAAGCACACAAGGAAAGGAACAAGACATGTCAACTAAATAGTTCCCATACCTCCAGTCAACCCTCTCACACTTTTCAGAATCCTAGCATATCCAGACAGAGTAAGTGGGACCACTTAACCCTTTAGATACAGGAAATCTAGCCTCCTGAGCATCACACACTGATTCACTAACGTTAGGGTAGGGATCATATTAGATCTGAAGCTATGGGCATTGCACCTAACTAAGTACCTGTCAGTGTGGAGTTCTTCTGGAGCCAAGAGGTGCAGCTTCATGACTTTGCTTCCATCAGGCTCTGGAGCTGAAGAGACACTCGTCTTCCCACACCCTGCTGGAGCAGGGAGCTGAGGCCCCAACTGTTCCTTGGCCTGATGGTATCCGGCCTGGCTGTCCCCTTGAAGGGTGGCTGTGTCTTCCATTGTCTCAGCCCTGTTAGAGCATCCTGGGTCCTGATAGCTCCCAGGCAGTGCTGAGTCACCTGCCACAGCAGGAAACATCCTTGTAGTACCTGTTTCAAGGAGGTCACCAGACACACATGCACACATCTCAGCTGTGCTTGGTGTGATGTCACCTGCTGCTGCCTCAGTAGCTCTCACCATTTTGCTGGGCCCCAGAGGAGTAGCCAACACTTCTCCAGCCAGCGGTTCGGGGGTATCCTGGTAGCCCAGCACATTTTGCATTTCTGCAGGACTGACAGCAACTTCCGGCCTTCTTCCACCGCCAAGTGTGGCAGAGATCTGTGGATCACTGTTAGATTCAGGCACAGTCAAAAGACTTTCGTGAGAAGAGCCCTCCGGGGCACAGGTGGGTCCTGGTAGATTACTTGAGCCCTTGGTGTGAGCGAGGTCCCAGGTACCATCTCCTCTGTGTTGACTGTTGCTGGCCAGTGTTTCTAGGTGCTCTTTTCTAGAAGGTTCTTCTGTGTGGCTGTGGGGAACCACAGGAAACCTGGGAGCTCTTTCTGCTGGTACCATCTCAACAGCTAGAGAGGAGGGAAGACCCAATGCTGATTCCTGCCTGCTTTTTCCCTGCTGTGAATGAGCCTGAGCTCCCTGGTCAGGCTCCCCAGTCCCCTCTAGCCTCTCACTTGCCACCATCAATGGGTCACAGGTCACCTCAGCCACAATACTGGCACCTGGAAGGTTCTCCTCCAAGGCTGTCTTGGCCAGACCCACCAGCTTCTCTGGTGCTGGATCCTGGGGAACCAGATGAGAAATCTCAGCCTCAACAATCAACTCTTGCTTCTTCTCTACCTGGAGTCCAGCAGGAAGTACAGGGAGATAGGCAGCAGCCACTCCTTGAGCCCCATCTAGAAGCTTCTCTGGGTTTAGTGATATCCCTGGGCCCTCAACCAGAAAATTCCTTGAAGCTCCTGCCTTTTCACCAGATATACTCTGGGGCCGATTGGCAACCAGGGCTCCAAGCACAGACTGCTCAAAGATCTTGGTGATGTGCTCTCTGAAGTCAGGAAGCCCCGTAATTATGCTGGTCTGCTTGGAACTTGCACCCTCACTACCTGACACACCAGCCTTCAGATCTGGGGTGAGTTCTACTGTCCTCTTCCTGCTGCCCCCTGTCTCTCCTGCTGCATCCCCACTGACAGGGGATGCTGCAACCTCAGAGGGCCTGGCATTTGTTTCTGGAGCTGCAGCCCCATGCATCTCTCTTGTCATCTGCTCATTTTTGTCCAGGTAAGTCATCCTGTCCAGGTAGGGCATGAGATTCACAGGTCCCTCAGTGGTTCCAGCTTGAGGTCTACCACTACCAGCCCCGGCTGCAGAGATTTTCCCACCTGAAGTTCCCGGTTGCAAGAGTGTGGTGAAGGAGACATCTGATACCTTTCCAGGAGTGTCATTTTCCAAAACAGGTGGGAGCTCCTTTATGGGGCAGGGACTTTCATGAGGTGCTCTGGGGCCCTCAGAGGAAACGGTGCTCATGCTACCATCTCCTGCGACCTCCCTGGCAGTGCTGTTGATATGTAGGTAAGGGGCATCAGGCAGAGTCTCTTTAGGTGGTCCAGCCGGCAGCAGCCTCGGTGGGTCTGAAACAGTGCCGGGTGCCAGAATGTCCTTTGTACTTCCAGGAATCCTATCTGATTCTCCAGCTGGCAGCAAGGCATCCCGGCAGCTGGGCTCAAGCTGTTCAAGCTGGCACAGCTCAGTCAGGGTGGAGGTGTAAGCTTCTTTCCCAGACATGAGGCACTGCTCCGCCTGAAAGAAGCCACCATGTAGAGCAGCTTGTGGTCCCTCTGAAGCCTGCTGCATCCCAGGGTCTCCTTGGCTGGTGTCAACATTCACCTCCGCAGATCCACCATCTTGCTCCTCTGCACTCGGAAAACTTCCAAGAGGTCCCTGTGCTTCTGCACCTAAGGTGGCCGGCTGCTCCATTTCCAGCTGTGGGCACGACTCTTCCTGGCTTTCATCACAGGCCTCACTCTCTAGTGCACCCCGGGTGGGTGTGACTCTGGGGCTGGTAGGCACTGGGGCTGGAGAACAGTGTGCTGTATCCAGGAGAGCTACTGAGTCAGGTGGACAAGGCGGAGCCTCCACTATGTCTCTACTTGCCCCCTCTGTCTTACCCAAGCCTTGAGGCAGGGGCGGTATATCACCTGCTTCAGAAACGCCTGAGTCCCCACAACATGCTTCTTCACGCTGGCTGCCTGCTTTCAAAGCATCAGCCAGTTCCTGTTGGGACTTGCTCAGCCCCTGCCGGATGCAGCAACTGTCCTTTCCATCCAAGTTTCCTGTAAGAGAGGTGTTTTCTGCAGGATGCAGGATCTCTGATGGCTGACTGCCACCGCCTGTGCCTTCTTGTTCATTTACCCCTAGTGCAGGCAACGTCTGTCCCAGTGAGGTTGATGGGTCTGACTCCTCTGATGGTGCCTTTCCGAGATCTGTATCCCTGGGTGATGAATTTGGAGTACTGCACGGGCTGCCTTGGGGTGGAAGTTCTGAAGCCTGTTCCTTTCCTCTAGGAGTGGGCAAGCTCACACCTACCCAAGGCTCCCCTTCCATGGGCACTAGAATTGGGGAAGGATTTGCACCCTGCTTCTTCAGACCTGGGCCACTTGGACAAGGCCCTTGCCCATTTGTAGATGATTGGGCCTTCTCATGGAGAATAGCAAAGGTGGATGCTCCCGGGTCCAGTTGGGATGGCTGGAGCGGGTTCTCAGAAGGTGGTGAGAGGCTGTTCTCTGGGCAGGACAGCTTTTCCTGACAATCTTGTTCTAGACTGAGCATCGCAAGGCCGTGGCCCATTGTTGAGCTCCTCCCACTGCTGAAAGGTAACACATCAGTATGGACTTCTTGTCCAGGTTCAACCTTCTCCAGCCCACAAGGTTGGCCTGGGCACACCAGCAAGCCTTCCCCATCACAGCTGTAGGGCCTCTGCAAGGGCGAGTGGCTCTTCTTTATTTCCAATATATTCTCCACCTCCCCAGCTCTGGACACCTCCTCCACTGCTGGAGCAGACAGGAAATCTGATTTCTCAGAGTCTAAAGCAGGAAGTGACTCTGTTGTTCCCAATTCTCCCCTGTCCTGAAGCATGCTGGGGCTTTTGGTCTGAGATTCTGAACTTTCCCAGATGGCTTCTTGGAGAGGAAAGTGCTCACCGGTTCCGTCTGATACTGAGGACAGGATGGGGCCCTCCTCAGAGAGTTTGTGCAGTGAGGTGCATGCGTCAGATATGTGGGATTCAGCAACCACCCGCCCCACAGCCTCTGCTGACCCAGTGTGGAGCCCATCCTCGTGGTCAGCAACTGCCTGTCTAGGTGGCTGTGCTGAGTCTGATTTGGGAGAGCCACTATGTGGCTTTGAGTCATCTTTGTCAGACTCCAGATGGAACTTGCTGTGAAAGGCCTGGGACCTCTCTTCCTCACCGTTCACAGACCGGGTATCATCAAGGGCTCTGGTGGCTTCTTGCTGCCTCTGAGGGTTGTTTCCAGGTGATCTGCTTTTCTTGACAACCACAACTCTATTTTCAGTATTCTTGGGGGCCTTACGACCATCAGTTGGTCCTACTGACTGTCTAGAACTTTCATTTGAAACCCCATGAGACAAAGTTGGCGGCAACAGCCCTTCTAGGACTGTATCATTTTGCCCCTGCAAGAAAGGGGCAGGGACCCCTTGGAGACTACCTTCTGGTTGTTGTTGTGTTCTTCCCAGATCTGATGCAGGCTTCAGCCCCACCACCCCCATATCTACCTGTCCTGTGGCCAGATCTGCAGAAACTGGCATCTTAGCCTCACAACCTGACTCGTTGGCCAAGCTGGCTTCTTCTGAGGTGACAGAATTCCAAGCCGCCGGGTGTACAGTGGGACTCGAAGCTGTATGTGTTTCCTTTGTTCTAGCGAATGGAGGGGCCTCAGCGCTCCCAAGCAAGCTCCTGTCTGGTTGGCTGCCTGATGCCACACAGACAACTTGCTGGGGCTCAGTTCCTGATGGCCCTGTCTGTGGTTGACTCTGAAAATTGCTGGTGTCTTGTTGAGTCTCCTTCCAGGAATCACTGTCTCCTGGTGCTGTGACAAAACCTAGTGGGGCTAAGGGCAGTTCTGCCTGTGGCAGATGCATTTCTACTTTCTGCTGGCAGTGTTCCTGGGAGCCAGTGTTTGTCCCAGCTCCAGGCTTAGTCCCCGAGTTGCTTTTAGAAGGATGGCCACCTCCAAGAAATTCCAGGTTCTTGGCTGAATATGTAGGTAGCACCTCCACTCTACTTCCTTCTTTGTCAGATGATTTTAGGCCTGGATCTTGTGGGACCATGGCCTCAAGTTTTGGGGGCGACTCTTCTAGGACATCTGAGCTTTCCATTGCCAGTTGGGTGGCAGCAGGGGCCTTAGTGGCAGACTCTGGGGGCAAGTAGTCATTTACATCCTCTTTCTTTTGGGACTCAAAACCACCAGGCCAGTCACCTTCACCACATAGCTGCTCTGTCCTTGACTCCCGGGGAGGCACTAGGGAAATTTCTGGCAATTGGCCAGTGCAACTGGAAGATGAGTTCTGTCCTTCTTTCTTCAGTTCTTCATTTTCTTCACCACTAGGGGCTGTGGCAACCATTGTGTGCTTTGTGAAGCCATCCCCTTCAAGAGTAGATGTTGCTAAGGCATCCCCTTGGATACTGGGGGAGGCTTCCCTTCTAGGGTGATGAGTAAGGGTACCATCTTCAGGTGTTGCTTCTGAGCTTGCCAAGCAGCCTTCTGGGGGACACTCAGTGAAGGGCATGGAGGCTGAGGAGCACGCCTGTTCCCAGGGCAGTGATGAGCTGGGCAGTGGAGAACCTTCTGGCACCCTGGATCCCTGAGGGTGCTTCCCTGGCTCAGTCACCTCTGGGGACACAGTACATGGATCCAGACTGGCAGTACTCTCAGAAGCAGAGCAGGAGCCTCCTAGGCCAGTGCTGCCAACAATGAAAACATGGATTGCTTCATTGCTTCTCACAGATGCCAAAGACAGAGCCACATACAGGCAGAATGACCCCAACCTGACCCCTACAAAAGGCTACTGGGAGCCTCCACCAAAAACAAATTGACCCCAATGGGAGCCCCCAGCTCCCTCCTCCCATAATAATTATACATGCCCTTGTTTCTTAAAAAAAAAAAAAAAAAAAAAAAAAAAAAGCAGAAGTCTTAACACTCAGGTGTGGGGCTCTCCATGCAGGTCAGTAGTGAGCAGGGAAATATGGAAACTCATTGAAAATAATAAAAAAGGCAGGAAACCCAGGAAAGCATGCGCGCTCACACACACACATGTAGGTACACATGCACACCAGAGGACAACCTTCAGTGTTGGTCCAGAATCTTTTAGCTGTTTTTCTCCTGTGTACTCCAGGGGGAGTCTCCTGTCTTTGCTTTCCATCTTCCCTTTTATTTGCATGGACTTACAGATGATTGTACTACGTTTCTGGCTTTTGTGGGGGTTGCTGGGGTTTGAACTCAGGTCCTCATGCTTGCCCAGCAGGTACTTTTATCTGTTGAACCATCTCTCCAGCCCCAGTGCCTCATTTTTCTGAGACAGAATTTCACAGGCCTGGAGCTTGCTGAGCAAGCAGGCTAGGCTGGCCGGCCATTGAGCCCCAGGGATGGGTCTCTCTCTCTGGGTCCCCATTACTTGTATTATAAGCATACCTCATAATCCTGCGTTTTTTAAAATGTGGATTCTGGGGATTTAACTCAGGCCCTCATTCTTGACAGGCAAACACTTGTCTCAGTTTTACAGGAAGGCTTTAATACATTAAACAAACAAATAAGTATGTAGAGTGGGTCGGGGTGAACAAGTTCTGGATAATTACAAGATGTCCCAAGCATTTCTGGGATCATTCTGTATTTGGGGAAAAGGCATAAGTTAGAAAAACTGTGATTTTTTAGAAACTCACAACTACCTGCAACTCCAGCTTCAAAATATCCAACACAGTTTAGAAAACTGTGAGGGTCATTCTTTTGTTTGTTTGATTTTTAAGACAGCTCTGGCTGTCCTGGAACTCACTATGTAGACCAAGCTGGCCCTGAACTTGCAGAGACCAGACTCCCTTTGCCTCCCCAGTGTTGTGACTAAAGGCATGTGTCACCATACCCTTGAAAATCTTCTTGAATATAGTTGATTCTTCAATTTTTAGTACAATGAGAGGAATTTCTCCACTGATCAGCATATATCACCTGAGAGCTGAAATACCTTCATACCCATGTTTGTCCTAACTTGAATATGCTTACCTAGGCAATGTGTGAGGGAAAAAAGTTATTATGACACACACTCAGAGAACTGGGAGGAACTTGGCTCAGAATTAGGACACTGCCATCACTTATCAACCCTCCAGTTATTGTAACACAGGTCACTGCATGCTATATTTGCATATGTTGCTCAGTTCTCTATTGTTTTAAGTGAATATTGTTTTATTTTATTTTTATGGTTTGAGACAGGGTCTCATGTAGTCTAGCTAGGTTGGAACTCGTATCTTAAGGCTGACCTTACATTTTTGATTCTCTTGCCTCCACCTCGCAAATACTGGGATTACAGGTGTGTACCACCATACCAAGCTGCATTTTAATCTTATAAACAATGTATGACTGACGCAAAATTGTGAAAACATGCTTGTGTGCTTACTGCTTGCAATGGTCTAGTCACCTCCCTTTCTGGTTTCCTATACTGTTTCTTGGGATGCGGTTTTGTCATTTATATCACTGTGATTCTATGTATTTTCTATGATTATATATTTTCTGGTAGCAAGAGAAGTTACTTAAGTCAAAGTTAACAGTTTTTCTAAAGCTATAAATTTTTATTTTAAATATTTTATTTTTAATTATGTGTATGTGTGGGTGGGTGGGTAGGTATGTGTATGTACACAGTGCCCATGGAGGCCAGAAGAGGTTGTGAGCCATCTGTCATGGGTGTAGGGAATGGAAGTCAGGTCTTCTATAAGAGCTGTATCCACATTTAATTGCTGAGCTATCTTCCCAGCTCCATCTAGGATTTTAAAAAGTCATTTTCTTTAAAGTTATTTTAAGGAAAATATAGCAAAGAAAGCTTATAGAACCTTCGATGACTGTTACATGCTCACACTTATAGACCCTCTGTATTCAGAGGGAGGTTTCTATTCTCCACACCCAATAAAACATTTCCCACACTGGGCAACACACATGCTCTCATACATGCAGGATGCATAGGATGGAAAAGTGGCATGCATTCCTATTACAAATTACAAGGTCAGAGCTGGGGCAATGGCTCAGTGGAGAGCTTGTTTGCTAAGCAAGCAAGAGTTTGGATCCCCAGCACCCACGTGGAGCCAGGCATTGTAATGCAACCCAGCACTGGAAGGAGTGAGAATCTTGTAGATCTCAGGGGCTCACTGGCCAACCAGTCTAACCGAAACAGCAGTTCCAAGTCCAGTGAGAGACCCCCAAAATAAGGTGGAAAATTGTCTGGAAGAAAGCTAGGAATGCAAGGGTTTGTTTGTTTGTTTGTTTGTTTTGGCTTTGGTTTTGTTTTGGTTTTTGGTTTTTTGAGACAGGATTTCTCTGTGTAACTTTGGATCCTGTCCTGGAACTCGCTCTGTAGACCAGGCTGGCCTCAAACTCACAGAAATCTGCTTGCCTCTGCCTCCTGAATGCTGGAATTAAAGGCTTGCTTGCACCACCACTGCTTTTGTAATGATTTAGAGTGTTGGTTTTGTTTTTATTGTGTCTGATAAGATAGGTACAGATATCTAATTTTTCTTCAATTATTTTAATAAAATAAAATAAATTAAAAAAATAAAGTGGAAAGCAATAGAAGACTATCAATGCCAAACTTACCCTCCAAACTCACACATCCATGTGCACACACACATGTTAAATACACATGTACACACACATCCGTGTGTTCACACATGGCATACACAATCCATGTGCACACACATAACATGCACCCTACCCACCAACTCCACCAATTTATAAATATGTGCTCTAGACTGATCCGTATGTCGCCCCCTCCCCCAAATCTGTGTTGATGCCCTAGGCTCCAATATAACTATTTGAAGATTAGGAGGAAAAGTTAAATGAGATCATGGGGTGGATGCCTAATCCAACAGGACTGGTGTCCTTATGTAGAGAGACAGAGACAGCAGGGGTGTACACACACAAAGGAGAGCCACATGAGGACAGAGTGAGAAGATTAATTCTGCAAGCCAGGAAGAGAAACTTCACCAGAAACCAGCCCTACAGCACCTTGCCCTGGACTTTCAGCAGCCAGCACTGTGAGAAAAATAGTCCGTTGTTTAAGCTGGCAGTCTGTGGTAGCCTCCCATGGCAGCCCAAGTAGACGAATAAAACAAGCATATGAGCACTATTGTATGGGAATCTATTGTCTTTTCTTTTCAGTGTTTTTGAGGTTTCAGTCTTTCCCACATAACAAGTTGAGAAACAGGAATGGATGGAATGGTGTCAGTGCTTGGCATAGACTATCTCATTAAACCCAGTAAGCAGTAGACACAATGGGTGTTACCACCGCTATTTGCAGATGAGAACACAGAACAGGGAGGCTGAGCTTGAATCTTGGTTGGACATCTTCCTACTCTTTTGGCACACTGCCTGAAAGAACAAAACCTTCCAGGGAGAGAGGAGACTCTGTACCTCACCCATTGCAGCCTCTCTGCCAAGCCAGTCACCTTGGCGTGGGACATTATCTATAGCCTTCCTGGAGGTATGTACATCCCATTACCATGGCAGCCATCCTTGCCTAAATGCCAATTCCTGCATATAAGACGAGGGATGGGTACCTAAGGACCCACGAGGGAGCAGGCTACAGTTTTAAGTGACTCACCATTTTCTCACACAAAAGCAATGCCGGCAAAGACAGAGTAGAGAAAAAGGAGGGTAAGAGACATACATCACTCCAGTGTATATGTGGTCACCCTGATGGCCATGGAGACAGCTGGACCAGCCCTGGGAAGATGTGCAAAACTGCCTAGAGTTTGAGTAAATCATGTGGACTTGGCCTTCTAGAGAGTACTCATCAGGGAGTCAAAACTTATCAGCTAGATGGACTGTTCCCATCACTGCTGTGGCCCCACCTGGAGGCTCCTCCTTTTAGCAGGGATTTTACATTTCAGTATGATCTATCCATGAATGGGGCCAAACAGTTTAGCAGAGGATGAGACTAATAGAATGTTCCTGTATATGTTGGCTATAAGCTTGAGAACTGCAGGAGCAGGCCCTTCAAACTCCCTCTATCCCACTGGAAATGACACAAAGCCATTTCCATGGCTGGCTGCCTTCCAGCAGGAACTGCCAGTGAAGGGGAGCCCATGGCTTCCCTTCAGGCTGATTGAAGTCATTACCATTTGAGAAAGGCTGATAAATGCACCATTTTGGCATTCTATAAACATACTCGTTCTTATCAGAGAGCAACCAGGAATGAATCTCCCACTAACACACAGCAACTCCCTCTGAATAAGAGACCAGAGGTGGTCTGTTTAGCAGAAGGCTAGGACCAGGGATCTCTTTGATTACCCATCAGAAGCAATTCTTAATGTCAGATTAAAGCCGCTCACCAGAAGCAGATTTGCCTAAGGGCAGGAGAAATTCTAAGAACTGCTGAGGGCTCTACATTAATTAAGCTGATGCAAGTCCTGTTATGCTTCAAGATTGAGTAGAAATGTGTGGGACAAGGCTGTGCTCACAATCAGTTGGGGCAGCAAGTGTCTTTAGTGGAAGCCTTTCAGCTCTGGGGGTGAGGTCTGCAAGGACAAAGGACCACAGCTTCTTTTGGGGCAAACTCTACCTACAGCACCCTAAAAGAGTAACCTAAGGGTGTTGGCCCGAGTAGCAGCAATTTGCTAAGCAAGTATTGGGGGGCACAGAAAAGGTGCACCCCACTACCTTGATACAAACAAACATATCTGAGTAGGCTCCTAAATACACAGGTCTG